TGCCTCCATTTTGATTGTAAACTACAATTTTATTACACTCACAAAATGGGTTCATCTGTGCTCTCACAAAGTCCAGTCCACGATGGTCGAATGCAGTACACATTATCTCATTAGACTTGATGTAGTCAGAGTGTTCTTGGACAAGACGCTCATCATTGTATTTTCTAATGGAACATTTGCAGATGGTAAATGTGCACTAAAGGACTAATGTCCCCAGTGAGTGCTACAGTATATGGACAGAGAAAGCTGATCTCTTGTGATGTGTTGACTGTGCCTACATGTACCAGGAAGCAGAGATTATGCTATGTTACGCAAGGTCTCATCGTTTTTTTTGTCTGATAAATATATAAAAAATCACAAAATGTCAGTGGGGGAAATATTCCTACACATAAACATGAAAATAGAACCGTTCAGCTTGTTAACTCTTAAAACACATTTCATTCAAACTGGACAGAAACAAAATAAAACTCCACCAAACATGTCTTTTAGTCTCTCCACTGCTCTGACAATCAGCAACTCTGGGTGGTCGAAATAGATACATCATTCACAGAGAAAGACTTCATCTGGTTTGGTCAGCGAGGGACAACTAATCAAAGTGAAACCATAAAAGAGGTAGAAGACTAAGAGGAGGGAGGAGATGGGTGAACACAGGCAGTGTAAAAAGGGTAAAACACATCTGTAACAACAAGCTTTTCATGCTTTTTACCTTGACCTGTTGACCTTTCATGATTCGTGAGTAACAGTCAGACATGCTAAAATAACTCGACACTGAGACTGCAGATTTTTGTAGCCATTGGTTTTCATCCACTAAGAATTGAATGACGTTCACTGGTCTTGATGTTCGTCTTTGTGTCTCTGCTTGGAGGATGAGGGGGCTTCTCGGCTGGCTGGGTTCACTGATAGGGCAGCACCGTCCTGCTGTTCATCCCCATTGGTCTGAAAGGAAAGATAAAGACACGAAGATAAGCCTTTATTGTTCTCAAGAGAGGAAATTCAGGTTTTGCAGCAGCACAAACAACATAAATAAATACAGACCTATAGGGAAGTAAACAAATAAATACGAGGTATATACAGCTAGTATAAGAAGTAAAATAGAAATACAAGAGCAATTATGCTTAAAAGAAAATGAAAATCTAGGTTTGCCTTAACATTACACTGTAACTCTGATGACTGTCACACCCTTGAAACTCACGTATTGCTTTTGAAACAGATCTTGTGAAAAGATATGGCAGGACCAACATGTATGTTGAAGCTGACATTCGGTTTTGTTTCTGACCGGCCACTGAGGCAGGTCAGTGAACGTTTCCACCAGCCTCTCAATGCTTGTGTCTGCCACTTTTGAAATCTACGTAGAAGGCTTTAGAATTGTAGACAGTAGAAGTATGGAATATATCACTTAACTTAAGAATAATACTGCTAAATAAGTGAAAGCTATCTGCCATGGTGACGGGTGACCTGATACTTTTTACAGAAACTTACCTGCGTAGTGTGCGCGCCAACACCGGCCTGCAGCCTGTCTGTGTTTTTGCTGCCAGAGTGCTGTAGGTCAAAGCCCCAGGACTTGAGCCTATTGAGGCCCTCCACAGAGCGGCCTGTAGGGTTGATGTGGTGCGTCGGGATACGAGCAGGTAGGTCCCAGGTCCCCTTAAAGTCTGGCCATGCCTTGCCCCTCTTCAGAACACACACACACACACACACACACACACACACATACACACAGGAGTGGAGTCAAACATAGATTCACAATGAAAGCAATATTTCATGAAGAGGGGAAAAATAGGTTTGATATATTCTAACCTTCTTCACTCCTGGGAGCAGATGTCCTCTATTATCAGCAATGAAGGTGATGTGACCCTCCTGTGCAGCGGGTCTCTACACACACACACACACACATTTTCAGATGGCAATGCTACTCTTCAAACTACCAGGTAATATGAAATACAAGCAGTATAGCTAATACATCAGCAAAGTACTGATGTATGACGTTTAGGCTACCTCTTTGAATTGCTTCGGTTCGCACCAGTTCTGCAGCCTCTGCGGCTTGAAGGCGCTTTCATACTGAGGGTGGAAGTGAACACGAGGTCCGTCAGAGTAAAACACAACAGCTGAATGTGTAATGTCCCTAATTTGTATTTCTCAGCTCGCACAAAGGTTACCTGGTTTGCTGAGTACATGGACATGTCTGCATCTGTCTAGCATCTGCGTCTGTTTTTGTTGACTCGTTGCATAGCAACGCGATCAAACAGGCCTATCCTTTCCGGACGTACTAACGGCCAATGGGAAACTAGCACTGTGGCCAAATCAGCCACACTGAAATGTTAGTGCACCTATATACTGACATTCATGGTAAACGCATTCAAACGGCCCAGATCCAGAACTTTGCAAAGTTAGTGAAAGGATCGACGTTTTCAGAATACGGTGTCAACAAAGCGTATAAACAAATTGCATATATGGAAATAAGATTAATTGAACTACATTCACATCACGTTTAAAACAAGTTACCTGCATCTCGTGAGTTAAAGGGGAAATACAGCTAAATTATGTGTGGAATGTACTTCTTAGAAAAATTCTACTCGACACCAAGTGTAAAATCAATAATCAGGAGATTTATTCTTGCAAGAAGGAGCAGAGTTGTTTCACATACAGTTATGCGTCAAGCTGCTGCTCAGAGCTCTGTCTCTAAGTCCTTGTCTTTTATACACTGTGACAAACAAGATTCATAACATGGTATCGTGAAGGTTTGGACCAGTTTGAACCATCTTCTTCGGTTGACACAGCTGTCAATTGTGTGGCTGTGTGGGCGCCTGTCCTGGCGCGCACCTCCTTGAAGCGAATGTGATATCCGTCTTCAAAAACACATCTGTGATTAGCAAGGTCATGGCTATATTGAAACAGATGCACAGTCTGTTTCTAAGCATTATGGAAAAATACAAACCTTATGTATCATTCTGTATTTTTCTAACAGAAGTCTTTCATTGATTTGAGGGTTGCTGTGAAGATAATTATATTAACAATGAATAATATCTGACTGACTGATATTTATGTGTTGAGGACATTTCTGACCATATCCATATTAAATATCAAACATCTTAACTAAAAAAGTCCTGTATTTGTACCTTCTAATAGCTAATATCTGAAGTTTTTTTACTACACCATGCACTATAAGTTTCTAACATTGTTCAACAGTTTTTTTTGCTTTGTTTATAATGTAATATTTTGATAATAATGTAAAACATATTACCCTATGCTTAAAACGGTTTATTTACAATGTGCGCTGATTATTACATTATGGACTTTTATTACATTTAAATGATTACATTGTGCGCAGTTATTACAGTATAAGTTGCTACAACATGAAAACAGAAATGGAACATTTGGTTAAAGTGTATTAAAACTCAGAAACCTTGACAAAGCCTGCTTTAAATCAAACTGACTAAACGGCATGGAACCTCTGTCTTTTAAAGGTGGTTAATTTGCCCTTTTTCAGGTTCAGTGTGACAGCTGTTGCTAGGTTTAATGCCCAGTGCCTACAGATGGACACAGCTTAAAAAAGCAAATACTTCTGACTGGAGTTGCTGTCTGTGTTGATAAAAATTCCACAAAAAGTCAGTTTTTTTCCAATGCAACACTCTTATGTTGTTCGGGTGGTGGCCTTAATTACCTGTATTTTGCCCGATTTAAAAAAAAAGCTCTTAATTTGTACATTACAAATGTTTGATTTTCATTATTGATGTAGTCAGAGATGTCCTTAACACAATGAGTCAGGAATTATCAACAAAATAATTTTTATAGCACTTAAAATATTCATAAATGTATACACAGTTCAAAATAGGGACTTCTACTTTCGTAAAATATTTTAATTAGAACAATAATATTTTTTGACTTTCAGTAAGTCTGTAGTCAGAGATGTCCAAAACACAAATGAATCAGTCATTGTCTGGAATTATTGAGAAAACTATTTTCATAGCACCTCAACTATTCAGATAGTATAGCTATTTCTCTGTAGGAATGTAGGACATTTACTTTGTAAAAACTCTGTTTGTTACAGTAGAAAAATAAATGTTTAAATGGTTGATTTAGAGATATCCTGAACACAAATATATTAGTCATTGTTTGGCACTTTGAGAAAATACTTTTTATAGCACCTCAAATATTAATATATTAACTATTTTTTGGTAGAAATGTAAGACATTTACTTAAATCTCTTAATTGGTAGTTTAAAAATGTTAGATTTTTAATTTGACTGGAGTCAGAGGTGTCCTGAACACATTAAAGTCATTGTCTGGAATTATTGAGAAAAATATCTTTATAGCACCTTAAAGAATTCTGACATTAGCTATTTGAAGGTAAAAATGTAGGACTTTTACTCCGTAAAATATCTTAATTGGTACAGGTAAGATGTTTGATTTTTGATATGGGTGTGGTCAGAAATGTCCTGAACACATACATATCAGTCAGACAGATATTATTAATTTAATTATCTTTGCAGCAAATCTCAAATCAAAGAATGACTACATTTCACGCACAATTTTATTGTATTGTCTCCTTTAACTCACGAGATGCAGGTAACATGTTTTACACTTAATGTAAATAAAGTTCAATCAATGTTATTTCCATATATGCAATTTGTATATATGCTTTATTGACACCATATTTTGATATCCGGAAGTTGTCTCACGTCGATCCCTTCGCTAACTTTGCAAAGTATCTCGCTCGCTCCGGACTTGACCGTAGTTGAAAACAACACACGGGAAACTGGGTGCACTGGGTGCATACGCAAGAAAAAAACAAACAAACAAAAAACAATAAATGTATGTGGCTGCTGTCTATATACGCTGTTCAAATGCCATTATTCTAATTAATTTAGCTCCCTGTCCCCAAATGATAATTTTACTTTGGAAGATAATCGGAAGTATTTGTGGTATGTTAATTAGAAGGACCGACGTATTTAGATATTTTTCCTTTTTGCACGAACAACTTCAATTTTAATGTGTTTTTGCGTGCTGCACAAAGTGTCCTTTCTATCCTCTTGTTTCGAAAGATATTCGCAAATTAATTTATTGTTGGAGAATTGACCGGAAGTACGACTATTTATCTTCCGGGTAAGTAACCGTCTCGAAAGTATGGTTATATGCTAGCAACACATTAACGCTAGACCGAAGCTAGTTAAAACGTTCCTAAATTAGGAAGAAACACAAGGCCTGTCGTAGCGGAACTTTGCAGCCACTGGTGGCTGATTTTACAGCGGGTTACAAAGAAACTCTTAGGGCATATCATAACCAACCTAAAGCTAACGCTAGCTGCCCCCTGTCGACAGTCACGATACACTCTACAACGTCCTGCTGATGGTCCAGGAGCCATGGAGGGTCCGTCCTCTCGTTTACCGCCCTCTCTTTTACCGGCCTCCCGAGACTGGCTGGTGGGCAGGAGAGACTCCGGTGGGGATGCAGAGTCAGACCGGGACATAAAAACACACTTTCGCGTCTGTCGCTTCATTATGGAGACAGGTAAACCACGGAGGTGTGTGTGTGTGTGTGTGTGTGTGTGTGTGTGTGTGTGTGTGTCAACAATTCATTTCCTCAGTATATTCACAGTGTACTAAGGAAAAGAATGTATGCATAGTAACCATGAAAAGAATAATTTGACATTCTGAGTTGCTACGTAAACATGACGAGATATTGGAGAGCTTTTGTTGACTTTTGAGATAATAAGGACTTACTATCGCATTATTTTAATTTAGTAAGTTACAATTTCTACTTATTTTTTTGACGTATTTTTTTTATTAGAATTTTTATCCGATTTATTTTTCTTGTCGAGGTGGATACAGAGAGGATGTATCAATTTAATGTAACTATGCTTGCTTTTCTTAATTATTTAGGTCTATTGTTAAATTCACCACACATCTGATCCCTCAGACAGCACCCATTCAGCTTTGCTTTTGCCTCTACACTGTTGATTGTTTACTACTGTGGTTTTTTTTTTTTTTTTTTTTTTGAATGGAGGAAGATTGTGATATTTGTAAGCAAGTTAGAAATGGACAAGTAGAGCCATAATCATACTGGCCTGCTGCACAGATTTTTTTCTCAGTGATTCAAATAAAGAATGTGAAGTAAGTTGAATTTTAATGGCAGTTCCGTGTGATTATCAGGACATATTGCTGATCTGGAATAGATTACAACCAATGCAATACATGCATATGTTTAGCATGAATCAGTCAAAGATGATACAACTTTGATTTAGAAATGAGTGCTCCTCTAACGAGTTGACTCCGACCTCGTCCTCCCTGCTCAGGAGTGAAGCTGGGGATGCGCTCGGTGCCCGTAGCCACAGCCTGCGTGTTGTACCACCGCTTCTGGGAACGTGCCAGCGTGCATGCTTATGAACCCTACCTGGTGGCCATGAGCTGTGTGTACCTGGCTGGCAAAGTGGAGGAGCAGCACACCAGGACCCGTGACATCCTCAACGTAAGCCATAGGTAAGATGCTTGGTGAAGAGTGAACACTACCTGCAGTGACCACGGATCTTCATGGCCACTTTTAAATCATACTGCTGGGAGCAAAAAGAAAACTCAGCAAACTGTCTGCTATTATGATGAAGTACCACTTCACCTAATTCACATGGAAACAGTTAGTCACCTTTTTAAGGTGGAATGTTAGTTGAGAGGTTCTGTCTTGACTTTCTGAACTCAACGGTGAGTGCATTTCATTCAAACCAATAACATAATAGATTGTCATCATATAGAACTAACTAATTACATTGATTTGTGTGTGAAATACTTTTACAAATATTTGATTAATTGTTTGTTCTGTAAAATGTCAGAAAATAGTGAACAAGACTAAGTGGAAACCATAGAAATGCATTCTGTTTCTATGGTGGGAAATCGATATGTGTGTGGTCGATGTGATAAATTGTGGCCAAAAATATCCATCGCAATTCTCCAAAGCCCAAGCTGACATATTCCAATCACCTGTTCTGTCCAACCAACAGCCCAAAAGCCAAATTTATTCCGCTTGCTTTCACAGAATACAAAGATGGCAGCAAATATTCACATTTGAGAAGCTGAAGCCAGTGAATTTCTGGCCTCTTTTTTTTCTTTCTTTCCATCAACTAATCAATCGGTTAATCGACAAAGTGTTTCAGCTTTAGTTTGATTTCACATGATCAACGATGTTCTTACCAATAAACCAGGACCGTGTCTGTGAACTCTTGAGACAGCTCAGCAGGAATATTCTTTTGAATGGGAAGTTAAAAATAAACGATTAGGAACAATCTTTACTCACTTGTTTGCTCTGCAGCTTTTAAACATATTACACAGTTTTCATCAACAGGATACGTTTGATCACTGTCTATTATTCTCGTTCTCGTCCATGCTTTCTTAAAGTTGAGTCCACTTACTAACTTGTTCTGGAGCCTTTGACTGTTGACTTTGCTTTTATGTCATTTTCAGTGGAATATGTTTTGGGTTTGGACTGTTAGGTGGACACATCGAGACATTAAACGTGTCACGTTGGACTCTGGGAAATTGTGATAGACACAATGTGAGAAATGAGATTAATTGTTCAATGGTGTGACTAATTTATAAATAAACCAATAATTAATATATTTTTAATTGTGGCCCTGCTTTACACGTCTTAGTAAACTAGCCAATGTTTGCATGTATTTGATGCCGAACTCATGATAAGTATCAACTGATCATCATCATCGTCATCATCATCATCGTCATCAGATGTGTCTGTTTTTATTTAGCTGGTAAAGTCAAATTTCACTTCCCATTCCTCCCTCACAGGTATTTCAACAGTGGCAGTGCTCCTCTAGAATGTGACAAGGAGTTCTGGGATTTGAGGGACAGCGTGGTGCAGTGTGAGCTCCTCATCCTCCGACAGCTCAACTTCCAAGTCTCCTTTGAACACCCTCACAAGGTGCGTGTGTGTGTGTGTGTGTGTGCCGTTGCAGTATGGTCTGGGTCAAAGGAGTGTTTTCAGATTTGAGTTCACTTTTCTTAGCTGATCTGATATTCGTAAGCTTTTCTAATTTCCTCATTCTATTTCTTGCATTCAGTGGTCCAGAAATTGTAAGTCACTCTGTTGTCTAGTGACAGAAAGGCCAACTCAAAATGATTTTGCTGACCTGTGTTTGGCTGATCCCCGTTCACACAATCCATTTGTGCATAATGTACAGTAATACATTGTGTTTTTCTCTCCAGTATTTACTCCACTACCTGTTGTCCGTGAAGTCACTCGTGAACCGCCACGCTTGGTCTCGAACTCCCATTGCTGAGACTTCCTGGGCGTTGCTTAGAGACTGTTACCATGGCGCCATGTGCATCCGCCACATACCACAACACATCGCCATAGCAACGTTGCACCTGGCTCTAAACAGCTACGGAGTGGAGCTGCCTGTCGGGGAGAAGGAGTGGTGGCAGGTGTGCGTTCCCTGTTAAGTGTTCATAATGATTATGTGTGTGTGCCACAGAGGCTGTTATAGGTGGATTTATTAAGATGGTATCAAATTAGCAGGTGTGTGTGTGTGGCGGTAGTTTCAGATGGGAGATGTGTTCGAGCTAGGTTCTACACGCTCTAATAAACTCACAAAAAATTCACCCAAAAAGTCGCCACGAAACAACTCCGTCTCAGTTAGGGTAGACCAATAACATCATCAGTTAGCAGAAATCTGACTATAGTCCACCTGTGTGCAGTATAAGTGTCACGTGATCTGACGGTCACAAGATCTAACAGAGCACCGTTACATCCATTATTATAAACTGGAAAGAATATGACGTCACAACAAACCTGCCAAGAGAGGACCAATACTCACAGCAGGCAAGGAGGACATTAATGAGAGAGGCAAGAAAAAGACCAAAGAAAGCTCTACAGCAGGCTTAATTGAACTAGTCATGTTTTGGTTAGGGTTAGGCACCAACACTACGTGATTAGTTAGTCCAATAAGTTATCTAAGGGGGTGTGCCTTGTATAGAGCCTCCACACGACACACTGCTGTAAACAGGAATGAAGGTGTCTGTCGCAAACTGCAGTAAAATGACAAACTCTCGTGACATTTTAAAGAAACCTCTGGGATATACAATGTTCCATCCTATCTCACATTTGGTGGAATTTAATGCATGTGTAATTAAATTAGTCCGTCAGGGCCATGTACAGTATGATGGACTAGCTGTAGCCGTGCACAGGTGGCCCCTGCAACAGCAACCATACAGCTTTGTACCACTGTGCCCTTTAACCACAGGGACATTATCACCTGACCATCCAGCTCCATCTTATTTTTTGTTATTTATTGGTTTATTTGATGAGGGACAGTGCACATTAATAAAAACATTTCTGTAAATCTTCAGAGCAGAAGTGCCTCGTGTAATTGTTCATTGTAATTGAAGGCTGGTGGCCAATGAGGTCTCTTTGATTTTGTAAGTCACTAAATGCAAATAGAAAAGTTCAGGATTTGTTATGGTTTTCTGCTTCCGGCCTCAAGGCTACAAGATCGTTTGAAGATTGTTTGAACAATGTGTGGACCTTTGATGTCCATGTTAGTTGAAGTTAGGTGTGGAACTGAAGCCTGTGTTTTTTTTGCGTAGGTGCTGTGTGTGGACGTGACCAAAGCACACATCGACGCTGTGGTCTCTGACCTCCTTCAACTCTACGACATGGAGGCCAAGTGTGTCTGAGGGACACACCTACGAGACGCCCTCACTGGAGACGCATGGGAGTTGTTGCATCTGTTGCGTGTGAGTAGAATGAGTAAATGTGCGTATGTCGTTCCCTGCATGTCGGGGTTCAGGTTCGTTCGTGTACTCGTTTGTGTGAGAGAGAGGAGCACTCTGTATTGCCCCAGTTAGTCTGTGAGCTGTGACAAAAAACACACCCGCACTACTGCTTCCTGCCACTGTGGGGAGACATTTCTTGCTTTCTGCTCTCTGATCACCCAGCCCTGCTGTATCCTGATGTGCTCTGGAGTTTATCATCAACACCAGAAATATCTTCACACTCCTCATATAACATGTTTTTACTACCATGTCCACTGTATAATATCCAAAGATATTATTATTAAATCAATAATTCCAACAAATCCATGAAAATGCATGGGAATGATGACCGCATGAGTGGCATTGTCCTCACAGATTTGCGGTGGGTCGTCAAATAAATGAGCAGAATTTTTTTCCATCCTCTTTTGTTCAACATTTCTATCTGCAGTAAACCTTTGAGCCACATGAGGGAGCCTGAATGTTTGTATTCTACTTATAACATAGAATCTGATATGACTGGTGGTCATTCTGTTTGTTTAACTGATGAGAGGAAATTAAAAGAATGAGAGCCTGTTAACTTATTTGGTCTCATTTATAGTATTGAACATGTGTATATGTTTGCAACACATGCATTAAGCAAAGTTGTGGTTTATCAAACATCAAAGCATCTCTTCTTAACGGCTGCTTTACCTGTTCAACATAATATGAGATGATGAGGAAATGTCAGTCAAAATGATCAGGAACGTTCATTGACGCACAAATACTTGTCTTGACATTGCATGTTATGATATAAAACATAAATTCACATGTGAATGCATTCATTTGCACAATGACCTCCCCATACAGTAAGTGTCATCATGGTGATTGTAGTGGATATCTGACTGTATGAACTCTTGTCTTGTTTTTTTTTGTGAAAAGACAGTTTGTAATTTTATGAGGAGGACCAAGCAGATGAAGAATATGTGGGCACATGATCTGCTGTATGTTTTTTACTAATGTCTCTGCTGTTAAAATAACATTTGGCCTGTGTATTGTTCAAAATGAACTCTACAGACTCTGCCCCTTTCTGTTTCAAGGACATGTCTGGTGATATTCTATATTTTCTTGTCAATAAATGCCATGGAAAAACTGAAACCAACAAGGAATTGACAATACAAGTGCGGTCTGTGAATCAAAGCCTTATGCATGTTATTCCTCTGTGCCAGTGAGCTCCATTGTCGTCCAAAAACACATGAAAGAGCCACAGTGTTGCACTGGGGGACAAGTTCCTTCATCCCTCACTAGTTTATGTTGCCTCAGTCCCACAGACACTGCCCTGCTGTCACAGATACTCACTAATTCTACTATTTCCCCTTGGATAAATCATTTTCTATCTTATCTTAGAAAGGGAAAAGTGTATTAATCCGTTCCCAACAAATGTATTTGCTCCTGCTTGAGTAACATTTGGTGGAAACTACACTGACCAGCTGACCATGATCTTCCGTTGTGTCCCAATTTACAGTGTAACTTCACCCCCAGGTCTGAAACTAAGTCCACCTACTGCATAATTTGGAAAAATTCAAGAAAGTGGGCTAAGAGATTAACCACGCCCACTTCCGTATGACGAAAGCCTTGACACAGCATCTACAAATATGACAGCTTTTTTTACAGCTTGTAACATAGTGACCACAGGGCAGTGAATTTGATGGATTCACTGTTCATCAGACCATAAATGAGGCAAGAATTACATTACTGCTGCTGGGAGTAGTGTCCTATCAGCCGGGGGGGCAGGGACCCAGCATATACTATATATATGTATATATATATATACACAGTATATGTGTTTATATGTATGTATATATACTGTATGTTTATATGGATACTGTACACGTGTATGTGTTTTTCTTTCTTCTCTCTCTTTGACCATGTTTTTGACGTAAATACAGTGGTTGCAGAATCACATTGTTGGTTGTGGTCTTTTATTGTGATTTGTTGCCAAGAAGAATAATGTAGAATCATTCTAAAGGTTGCTTGTAGATGACGTCAATCCATCTGTGAATGCAGCGGTGTGAAACAGTGTGACAGCCCAGAGCTAAAATCCCTGATAGCTGAGAGGTAGCCCCGACTCTGTAATCCCACTGGCCTAAGTGGTACTAAGTGTTTTGGCACCTTGTCCTGATTTTTTTTATAGTGACGATGTTTTAGGGGAATGTAAAGAAACAATGGATGAGTGGTGAGAACCCAGCCAACACTTTATTATTGAAGAATACTGATAAAGGTTACTTTAATCACCTTCTGTTTACTGCTTCACTTACTTTTCTGTATTTCTCTTGTAAAATCAGGTGTGTGTGTGTGTGTGTGTGTGTGTGTGTGTGTGTGTGTGTGTGTG